CCCCTCAGGGAAAAGGGCGGCCTATAAATAAACCCATTCAATTCAATTCAATTCAATTCAATTATAACAAGATAGAATTCGAGAACCTTGAACACTTGACAAGGTTTCTTTCTCACCATCTTAGACAAAATCAAGGGATTTGTGGAGAGGAGGAGAAGAAGAGGGGGAAGAGGAAGACTGTGGGGGTCTTTGGTGCTGTCTGAGTTTGGTCCTTTTCTTGCAGATGTTTCATGACCTAACTAGGGAACATCATCAGGTCTAGAAGGGAGAAGGATTTGTGGAGAGGCGGAGGAGGACTACGACTGTGGGGGTTCTTGGTGTTCTCTGAGCTTGGTCCTTTTCTTGAAGGCGTTCTTGCATTCTGAGTTTCCCACTCTTCTCCCTTTCTCCAGATTGGAGGATCAAAGCCCACTCCCAATTTTTTTTTTCTAAATTCCTTGTCACTTGTGCCTTCTCCCAACATGGACTGGAAGTGCTGTCCCTGTCCACAAGGCCTTGAAGGCTCCTTTTCTGTTGTCCAGCCTGTGTGGGCAAGGGCTCTTTCGTCCACCCCACAAAAGGATACTCCCTCCCCACCCCAGCCTACCTGCCCAGTCGTTTGGCAAACTCCGCCACCTTCTCCTTTTCTTCAACGTCTTCAGGATCAAGAACCAGCAGGCAGTGGAAGTTGCCGTCCCCAACATGGCCGACAAGGGGACCTGGAGACATGAAAGGGACAACATCCCTCGTTTCGATCTTCTCTAGCATACTTTTTGGGACTACAGCCCCCATCATTTTGCAAATCAAAGAGGACGCCCTTCTCATCTGGAAGACACCCAAGCACTCATTCTACCAGACTAGAATTTGGCCAACTGATCTAAGATTTCAGGTAGTCCTCGAGTTACGACCACAATGAAGCCTGCCCAATATGGCCTTAAGTTGTAAAAGCCATAAAACTGACTTTAACCAGGTTTTTTATGTGGCAGCTGGGGAATTCTGGGAGTTGAAGTCCGTCAGGCTTAATGTAGCCGTGACCAGGGGGGCATTTGCCCAGGTTCGCCTGGTGCACCAGTTGCGTCCCTACCTGAACCGGGAGGC